CCCTTAACCTTTGCGGCTTCAGGGGCTTGAATCGCCTTTATACTCCCCTCGCCCTCCCCAAGGCTAAGTGTCACATACTCAGAACACTGAAAGACAGAATTCTTCGCCAAGTTGCATCCGGATTGGCCTTTGCAGTCGCGATGGCAACGGGCATGTTGTGAAAGAACGCCTGCCTGGTGCCCACTTGGAAGCTCTTTTGACTTAGCAAGCCTACTTAGTATCCGCTACACACCCGGTTATAGCCCCCATAACCCGACGTACAACCTGACTTACTGAGTCAAAGAGCTTCCAAGCATGCAAGGCGATATTTAGGGTTCAGGTCGCCATGGGGCATTCTAGGTGGTTGCATCATCTTGGTTTCTACAAGCTCCATTCTCAGAGATCCGCATGCACCTTGTGTGTGCACTGGCAGAGCCAACTCCTACTTCTAAGGGCGGCGCGAACCTAGAAACAAACTTGGGTTCCAAGAGTGGAAATTACAAGCAACCCACGCAATGGGGCACAGCCTCTCTCAGGGTGACATGTCTAGGCAAGGCCGGAAAGGGACCAACCAGCAGGCGGCAAGGAAAGGCAGCAAGGGAGGGGGAACGGCCAATCCGAGCACACAGCGGTTGCGAGGAACACCCGCCGAGGAAGGCTGAAGCAACAAGGGTGACAATTAAGGCCCAAGGAAGGGAGCATCCTACACGGTGTAGGATTTTAAGCCCGACATACTATCTCCGATACCGAAACCAAAACTATATGTGTGTATATGTTTATCTCTCTCTCTATATATATGTATATATTTAAATCTATATCTTTCAATACACATAACTGCACACGCACACACACAAACACGTGGTTTCCTGATTTTATTATAAGTCATTTCACTCACTAGATTTCTATCATCATGAGTGTGCTCGTTTCACTCTCACGAAATTCACTCAATCATAACCTCGTGACCGCCATGAACAGGCTGAGAGAAAGACTCCTTGGCAAATTTCCTGTTAGTCCCTCGTGAAGGCGGTAAGATTCAAGAGTCTTTTACTTGGCTGCACTCAGGAGGGTAGCTAAAAAATAAACTTTTAGCTGCCTTATTAAGAAACCCAAAAGGGTAAGGATCTAAAGTTACAGTAAAGTACCACAAAGTTTAACAGGGTCTCGAGGTGATGTGCGCTACGGTTGGACAAAATACGCCCTCGTGATCACGAAGACCAAGATAGGAGAGTTAGGGTCTCAAGGTGTGACAGGGAGAGAGCGGCTAACCATCGTTCTGTTCATGAATTCACTTGTCTTGTCGTCTGTTCCCCCGTGATGGCTGGTACTTTTCGGCCCTTTATTAATATCATATTTGGGCTTGTAAAATACAAGCGATGCGTGTGATTTTATTATTCGCCCAACAATAATATTATAAAGGGAGCACGCACGGACACCATGCAAAGCAAAACTCCTCCAAAAGGACCAATTTTAATAGTATTCATGCGCCTGCGTGAACTTACCGCAGTAATAGTATTAATATTGACAGGAAAGCGCAAACAGAATGCTAGGAAAGGTATGAAGGAATTCGCACTTGAGACAGAGGTTATCAAGTCGTGCTCCTTCCGTACACCCTCAATCTCATGACACCTTAACTCCTTAGGCTTTCCTGTGAAGAGAACTCCCTCACTTTTGGGTTGTAGCCACGTTTATCTGGAGATAGCCCTACTTCCAACCGCAGCTGGGTTCGCCTTCTTTGAGGGTGTCGGGATTTCGGGTTTCGGGGTCCTTGTATGATTAAAGGCATGTTCTTGAACTACTGGGGTGCGGGATACGTTCTAAGAACTCCACGCTGAGGCACTGTGTCATCTGGATCATGCCCCACCCGACCTGAGATCTTCACATGTGGCTATAGGGGTAGTTTCCTAAACCTTAGCCCTGAGACGGGTCTGAAAAGTAGATCCCCCCTTGAGTTTGCTTATTTCCAATAAAAATTAGTGGCACTACAATCTGCAAACCCTGACTAGCCCCTCAGGGGTTAAAGAAGTATATAGGGGCCTTACAAATTAGAATAGCGTGTTGGGGGTTAATATAGTATACTTTTACAGGGATCAGAAAGACCACAAGGAAAGACTATTGGAAATTATTCAGACCCCTATATTATACCTAAACCTTTCTACGTTCAGGGCTCTCCAGGGCGTCTGTTATAGGGTCCTTAAGGGAGTGGGGTTCAAGGGGGGTATGTAACGCAAGGTTCCCCTAATACTCCCCACTACTCCCTAAGGCTCCCGAAGCTTCCCTAAGGCTTCTTGGGTACCTACCCCCCATGAACCCCCCTCCCTCAAGAACCCCCTTAGTCTGGTCATAGTTCAAAAAGCTCCGAATTGCGCCCAAAATCCTTCAAACCCGAAACCCTCAATGCCCCCAGTAGAACCCCTAAACCCTAAACCCTTAGCCCTAAGCCCTGAGCACTACTTGGAGGATCGGGGCCCTTAGTAAGTAGGGTTATAAGTACCTTAAGTGGGCTTGTAAGTAATCATAAGCACAGTTGCTCTACTTATAACTCCATTAACTACCCTCCCCCCCGCCCGGTCCTTTAAGTAAACCCTACTTGGAGGTATAACTCAATTACAACCCACTTACAAGCCCTTTAAGTGCACGAATATGGCTATAATTGGGTGATACAGTTATACTTGAAGTTATTACGTACCACGAACCTCCAAGTAAGTCTTGAGTTGAAGGCCGTGGTGCGGTGCCGGTGATCAGCACAGGACAATTGTCTGGATCCGCCCGGCAAGCAGGGGTCAACCACCATTTGCCCTGGTCAGGAAGGGGTTTCTAAGGGGCTTCAGATGTCTGGTCCCTCAAATGGGGACCCCTTACTCCAAAACCCTTTAATTAAGGAATATACCTTAGATGAGAATAGGAACCCGGATATGATTTAAGGTATATTCCTTAATTAAGGGGTTTTGGAGTCTCTTGGTGCCCCTGACCCTTAAAGAACTTACTAAACCCAAGATTAAGGTGCTTAGGGGGCTTAGGGGACTAAGTAAGGTGTACTGCTTTGCTGAACGGGCCGTCGGCACCCGAAGAGATGATTTTCTGCTTTCTTCGCTTGGAGTTATGAGTGTGGCTGCCTTGGAACAACCTCCAGCAACAGGAACCCAGAAAACCCTAAAACCCAAACCCAAAACATTCGTTTCAAGGCTTAGGATTAGTTTAGCTCCCACCCTGAACCACACACCGCGTGCCAGTTGGGGTTTAGGGTTCACGGTTTAGGGTTCAGGGGGTCTTTGAGTCAGAAGCCCGGTCTTTTGCAGGCCACCAACCCACAGAAATGATGCACATGAGGACCACCCTCACCAAGACTGTTGCAGTTCGAGTACGACCTGAAAGGCAAACTGCAGCAAGTACATCCGGAAGCTTCTGACCTGAACCCTAAACCAAACCCTAAACCCTAAACCCTAAACCCTAAACCCTAAACACTAAACCCTAAACCCTAAACCCTGAACCCCGAACCTCGAACCCTGAGTGACTTTCTGGAGCCCCCTGGGCTGCCCTAAGGCGGGGTGTTTTTTTAGGTTATCAAGGGCTTTCAGGGGCTTACAAAAGGGGCTCATCAAGGGTTTCATACGGGCTTTTTGTGGATGTATCGGGATTTTTTTTTTTAAGCGAGGGTCGTTGTAGCACTTCAGGATATTCTTTCCATCCGCATCTGTCTCCACGCCGCCAGTGTCACCCGTGGCTGTTAAGTAGATGTCGGCAATTCCTGGGTTTAGGGTGGGGCTGGGGGGTCACCTACAACTGAAGCTATGAACCCACTTAAAACTCCCCGAAGTACTGGGAAATAAAAGGGTACCCTGGTGTGGCGGGGGGGGGGGGGGGGGGGGCCTTTCATAATTAGAAGGGGGATGGCGTGTGCTCCAGAGCATTGATCATGGGTTTCCCACTACCCCCCTAAGGTTCCCCCAAACCCTAAATAGCCTCAATCTAGGGGGGATAGTGTAGTGGGGGGTAGTACGGGAACCCATGACTTGAAGGCTACAGCATGAGGAGCCCGTGATCGAGCTTTGCGACTAAACAGTCCCAGAATGGCCTCCCCCCCCCCCCCCCCCGGGCGCTTCTGGTGACTCCCAGACGCGAGGAGTCACATTCTAGGCATAAACAACGCTGTAATGTAGTAGTCTTTAAATGTGCGGACGAATCAATATATGTGTACATGGATGTTCGGAAGGGTCCGTGTGCCCATACGGCACACACTCAGGCCCCAAGTACATTCACTAGGCAGACTGGAACCTGCCAAGACGCGCCTAGTGCCGGACAACCGTTTTCCCGAACGCTCCGCAGAGGGTTCCCGTTTTAAAGTTGGGTTGGGTGGTTACCAAACGTTGTTGCGTTGTGTCCGTAAAGTGTCCGCAAGCGTACGCAAAGCGTTCGCAAAGCGTTCGCAAAGCGTCCGCAAGCGTTCGCGAGTGGCGTAAGCGTACCGTTAAGGGGGAACTGCACAGGACGCGCACCGATGCGGCGTTCCGTAGCGTTCCGAATCCGTCAAGCTAAGGGGGAAATCCACAGGACGTGGCGTTCCGTAGCGTTCCGAATCCGTCAAGCTAAGGGGGAACTCCACAGGACCCGCGCCGACGTGGCGTTCCGAGGTGTTCCGAATCCGTCAAGCTAAGGGGGAACTCCACAGGACGTGGCGTTCCGTAACGTTCCGAATCCGTCGGGAACTCCACAGGACGCGCGCCGACGTGGCGTTCCGTGGCGTTCCGAATCCGTCTCCACACCCAGAGACTCCAAAAGTCTTTAAATTTAAGAAAGACCCTTAATTAAAAAAAAACCCGCTGAAATCAGCCCTTAAACAAAGGATATTAGCTTAATTAAAGGTTAAAGTGTAAAACCAAACCTTAATTAGAAGGTTTTTCGCCTTAATTAAGAGTTGTGCGGTTCGAAGAAGCGCTTTTGGCTTAATTAGAGGTTTTTTTGGTGCATTCTTAATTAAAGGTTTTTTGGTGTGGTACATGCAAGATGATGTCTCGTGACAGAGGCTAATAAAGCACGGTCTGAAGCCTTTTTTTGACTGAGCTGGCTCGCAAAAGTGGTGGTTTTGGATTGCTTGCTGCAAACTTCTGCAACATTGCCCTTGAAACTCCGAGCATGCTGAACTCCCCGCCCCTGCGAACAGCATGCTTCGACAATGTGTGCCCAAACGATTCGTCCCGGTACGACCACGTTCTTCGTGGGTTCGCAGGCGAGGCAGCAATTTCAAGAACGTTCTTGTTGAAGGCACCCTTCATGTCCACCTCAATGCTGGAAGCGGCACCACTGCCGAAGGCATCCATCAACGAGCCCAAGCTTCCACCATCCATGGTTCCCGTCTGACTGTGCCGAGTCGTGTCGGTGGCAGAGTCTCTCTCTGTGCTCTCCTTCTGCATCTTGTAAAAGTAGCGATGCAGGAGTTTGTTCTTGTGCGGCTGCTCTTGCCTGGTGTGCTTGAACCTTTCCTCGGACTCTCTCAGGAGGTCCTGCAAGGTGTCGGCTGCCACCTGCTCTGAAAGGTTGCTTTCGTTCAGGCCATTGAGCTCCAGGATTTTGGACCTCTGCGACCAAATCTGTGAGGGCACCAACCCACACCCAACAAAAAGAAATATTACTGCAGCCAAGCCACCGGGTCATGAAGCCTTTCACAAACTCATTCGCTTCCTCGTGTTGAACCTCCGTGTTCTTCGTCAGCTCGTTGGCCCAGTCCAAGCAGTGCATGCCACTCTGCACAAGCTTCTCCAAGATCTTGCTCTTGCCACTCACGTCTGCTGCCTTGTAGTCGCTGAGGATCTTCGCTGCTGCTGCTCTGTGCTCGGGGGTGGCTTTCTTGGCCTTGCACTGGTAGGACAGCGAGGTCAGCAGTCCCGACAGCTGGCCTCTCTCCATGCCGATCTTGCCCACTGCTTCTGTTGGCTCGGTCTTCACTGCTTGCGACTTGGGTGTGGCCGTCCCCTTGGCAGCGGCCTTGGGCTCCTTCTTCGCTGCTGTTGCAGCAAACTTGCCCTTGGAGGTCGCAGGCTTAGCCGTCTTAGCCACTGCAAGCAAGCGAGTTCTTCTAAAGTGGAGCACGAGGGAACCGGTACCTTTGAGCACTCTGGGCACTGATGGGCATTGTCGGCCAGAGTATGTCTGGGCTTTCAAGGAGTGGCCTCCTTGTGTCGCAGGAGGCCACTCCTACACCCCCATACTGAGGAAAAAAAGAAAGAAAGAGAAAGAGCACCAGACACAGAGAGAGAAAGTTTGTATACATGTTTCCACGTATATATCTATACAGTTGTACACGTACATATATATATATACATATATATATATATATACAGATATACAGATATGTATGCATACACATGTATATTTCTGTGTATGTCTATTTTGGGTTATTTATCGATTTATATTTACATATATGCTATCTGCAAATATATAGATATGTATATATATATATACATCAATATATATACACATATATATATGTATTTATGTATACACATATGATATATGATATATATATATATATATATATATGCATACATAAACACACCGGGGGGGGGGTGTAGGGTGTCGGGTTTAGGGTCCTAGGGTCCTGAACCTTAAACCCCAGACCCTAAACCTTAAACCTTAAAGCTTAAACACCAGACCCCTAAACCTTAAACCTTAAACCCTAAACCCTAAACCCTAAATCTTAAACCCCTAACCCTAAACCCTAAACCTTAAACCTTAAACCTTAAACCCGACACCCTAAACTCCAAACCCTGAACCCTAAATCCTAAGCCCTAAACTCTGAACCCTAAACCCTGACCCTAAACCCGAAACCCTAGACCCTAAGCACTAACCCCTAAACCCGAAACCCTGAGCCCAAACCCTTCAACCCAAACCCTGAACCTTAAACCCCAGACCCTAAACCTTAAACCTTAAAGCTTAAACACCAGACCCCTAAATCTTAAACCCCTAACCCTAAACCCTAAACCTTAAACCTTAAACCCGACACCCTAAACTCCAAACCCTGAACCCTAAATCCTAAGCCCTAAACTCTGAACCCTAAACCCTGACCCTAAACCCGAATCTAGACCCTAAGCACTATTCCTAAACCCGAAACCCTGAGCCCAAACCCTTCAACCCAAACCCTGGACCCTAAAGCCTAAGCATAAAACCCCAAACCCTGAAGTCTAAACCCTAAGGCCTAAACCCTTAACCCCGAACCCTAAACCGTCAACCCTAACCCCTAAGGCCTAAACCCGGCAACAGGAACCCGAGACCCCAAACCCTGAGGCCTCAAGCCTTAACCCTAAACCCTAAACCCTAGACCCTAGGGTCTACCCTAAAGACTAAACCCTAAACCATAAGGCCCATACCCGAAAGCCTGAAGAGTGCCACTGTCGACGAAACCCGTTCAAAAAACGTTAAAATTTTTAACTTTTTTTAACATAATTTTTAACAACCTTTTCCTTTAGTTTCCCTTCTAAATCAATGTTAAAAATTGTTAAAAAAACGTTAAAAATTTTAACGTTTTTTGAACGGGTTCCCTCGGCAGTGGCACTCGAACGAAATCCAGACACACTATTCTTTTTGCGCGCTCCACCTCGGTGCATGCTGCCTGATCGATCAGCTCCGGAAGATGCTGCTAAGCCTGGATCACACGTGAAATGTCACGAACTGACACAAGCTGCAGAAGTCTTGACACAATCTTTGTACTTGCTTGGCTTGCATGACAAGCAGCTCTCAACTGGTGCACCGACGAGGCTCAATCTGTCTTCTGCTTCCTCCAAAAACAAGACACGGACAAACCCTAAACCCTAAACCCTAAACCCTAAACCCTAACCCCTAAACCCTCAACCCTCAACCCTCAACCCTAAACCCTAAACCCCAAACCCTAAACCCTAAACCCTAAACCCTGAACCCCAAACCCTAAACCCTAAACCCTAAACCCTAAGTTTATGCAATGCACTGCAGAGCATGGCTTCCACTGTAGTCCTGGGATCATGGGCCTCGGCTTGGTCACCATGGCCTGCCAAAACAAACAAAAAAGGAGTGCTCCTCCTCAATAGGAGAAGCCCTCCTGCAACTGAATTCAAAAGCATAAGTAGTGCAGCTGGGCCTGCTGCCTCCTCGGGAGCTGGTGGACCACTGGCCTGACCGAGAGGCTGCATGGATAACAAACCCGAAACAAAATCATCCCCTTCACAAAAACAAATTGCCTCGGGACCCTCATCATCCACGGCAACCGGCTGGCTGTCCCCAAGCCCTGCCGGGGAGTGGCTTGCTTGTTTGGCAGCGCACAAGCAACAGGACCTCAACTATTGCTGCCCAAGGAGCATTCCGAGGCTGGCTTCGTCTTGGCAATCTTACTGGGGGGACCGGTCTCCTCATGAGCAGACAAGGGCCAAGGGCAAAAGCTTCGAACGAACTAAGAAGGAGGCCCTCCTCGACAGGAGAGCCTCCTGTGCGAACAATTCTGCATGTATCCTCGTCCGGCTCGCCATCCACTTTGGTCCAGCTCTGATAGCTCCGCATGGAGGCTGGCGACCCGTCCCTCCTCTTCTCTGCTGCTTCGCAGCTCCTGCCCCTCTTCTCTGGAGGTGCCTCGTGTGAGAGAGAGCACACAAAGCACATGCATGTTGCAGACACAAGAACAGTGTAGCCACACAGTGCAGCCCAGTAGCCGGTGGAGGGTTCTTCGGGATAACCAGGGGCCTGGCCTTTGGCTTCGGGTGCTGCTGGGCCTTGGCTTCGCGGGAACAAAGAAAACACAAGCAACACAGGAAACTCTGAAAGTCTTTCTGCCGGAAAGGCACCGCTTCGGCTTGCTCTTGGCCCTCTTGGCCTGGATCTTCTTCCTCTTCATCACTCGGTGGCTGAAACTCCGGCTCGCCGGCATCCTTCCACCCCTTGACCTTGGCCCACCACACCTTTCGCTGCTTGCCCCTGTTCTTCTTCTTCTTCTTCGCCAAGGTGGGCTCAATGTAGTTGGCAAAGTCCTTCAGGTCCCACCGGCCTCCACTGCCCTTGCTGTAGGGATCCCAGAGGTTCTCTCGGTTGGCCGAGTAGATGTAGAGCTCACCTTAGCGAGGAGACCCTCCTATACAGGAGAACCTCCCAAAAACTGCAAGGCTCAACTTGAAGGAGACCCTCCTAGAGTGAAGGAGAGCCTCCTGAAATCTGGATGCTGACATGTTGCACTTTGTGTTTAGGCAGCCACCCTCCCGCACATAGGACCAGTTGTGCTTGCATTTCTTGCACTTTCTCACATCGATGCCGGACATGTCATTGGGGTCCTCGTCCCACGGGTCGTCGTCCTTCTTCCACCACTGGGAGCCTTCACCCTTCTTGTCGCGGCCACCATCCTTCCAGCTGGAGCCCCACCCCTCAGCGACAGGACTGCAGAGAACCCTGGGCAACAATCTGAGCACACAAAATGCAGCCAAAAATACTGCAGCCAAGCGACACCAGAACCAGAACCTGACTGATGATGCCAAGACATCCCTGCTTGTGGCAGACAGGGGTCTGGAGCTGCACTGAAGGCTTTAGCTTGGGCCGAGAAGCTGGCTGGCAGGCAAAGAAGCTCAAACAACAAGTCTCACATGCACTGCACCTCACAGCATCTCCTCCTACTCTGCATGCACTGCACACTCTCATGAGTCACTCCAGCAAGCAGATCTGCCACAGAACCTCTTAAATGAAAACATGTTAAGCAAACGGAAAACAAATCTGAAATTTCGTATCTACCTAAAAGTATTTGCCAATGCTCCACACAAATCAATCTGCCAAGATGCAGCTGAGCTCGAGCCTTTAAAATTGTGCAGGCAGAACAGGACGGCATGTAGACCTATTGTTCTTTTCTACAGATATGTACACACACATCTCCTTGGATCTGCTCCATGCATCGATCTGGATCGATCATTCACTTGCATGCCAGACGGTGTCTTTATGAAACATATTGGGAAAGAAAAGCCCTTATTTAACACGTGTGAGAAAACCCTTTAATTAAGCAAATAGCCCTTAAATTAGATTTACGCATAATCCCTTAACCATGATTTAAAGACTTTTGGAGTCTCTGGGCAGGACGTGGCATTCCGTAGCGTTCCGTAGCGTTCCGAATCCGTCAAGCTAAGGGGGAACTCCACAGGGCGCGCTTCCACGTGGCGTTCCGCGGCGTTCCGAATGCATCAAGCTAAGGGGAACTCCACAGGACTCGCCCGTGGCGTTCCACGTGGCGTTCCGCGGGGTTCGGGGCGTTCCACGTGGCGGTGGTCCCGTGTTGGTGGTCCCGTGGTGGTGGTGGTGGTGCCGTGGTGGTGGTCCCGTGGTGGTGGTGGTCCCGTGGTGGTGTGGTCTCGTGGTGGTGGTCCCGTGGTGGTGGTCCCATGGTCGTGGTCCCCGTGGTGGTGCTTTGGTGTGGTCCCGTGGTGGTGGTCCCATGGTGGTGGTCCCGTGGTGGTGGTCCCGTGGGTGGTGGTCCCGTCGTGGTCCGTGGTGGTGGTTCCAGGCGGTGGTCCGTGGTGGTGGTTCCGTGGTGTGGTCTCGTGGTGGTGGTCCCGTGGTGGTGGTCTCATGGTGGTGGTCCTGTGGTTGTGGTCCCGTGGTGGTGGTCGTGGTGGTGGTCCCAGGTCGTGGTCCGTGGTGGTGGTCCCGTGGTGGTGGTTCCGTGGTGTGGTCCCGTGGTGGTGGTCCCGTGGTGGTCGTCCGTGGTGGTGGTCCCGTGAAGGTGGTCCCGTGAAGGTGGTCCGTGGTGGTGGTCCGTGGTGGTGGTCCGTGGTGCTAGTCCGTCCGCCCGCCGCCGACGTTTCGTTTATATTGCGTTATATTTACGTTATAGGCGACTGCTTTCTGCATTCGGGTTCGTGGATCCTATCAGGTTTTACACAACGTTTTTGCTGTACTTTAATGTCGTTGAACCACCCTCAAACCCTAGATACAACCCCAAGTTAAACAATGTCCAGACCTCAGTACCTGCAGACTAGACTTTATGTTAGGGTATTCTACGAACAACTTAACTCAAGGCAATTCTTCCCTAACCCGAAGACCGAAGAAAAAAAGACAGCAACAAGACGCAAAAGGTTAAGATAAGCTCCTGCGATGTGGGCTGTACGATAATCAGGGACCTCTACTATAGACCCCCCCCCCTCCCCAAATAGTAGGATCCCCTTATATTAAAAAGAACCCCAACAAGGTATCCCGAAGACCGTAAACCCCTGTATGCCTGAACTGGGGGCGGCATGAAACGAAGTAGGAGACCAACCCAGACAAGAACAGAGATACGAAGCAACCTCCCCGAAGAAGCAGGAGAGCATGTGGGATGTCCCCCCCCCCTAACATAATCGCTATTGAGGGCTGTGAGTGCAAGGGAAGGGGGACCATCCCAAGAGATCATATTGAGAAGACAGAACCCGGAGAGGAAAAAATGAACACGAGAAAGGAAGGAAGGAAAACAAAGATGGGAGGTAGTGATGGAAAGAAAAACCTGAAGCAGACACTGCAACACCCAATTTCCTTGACCCGAGAATCCTCCCAATTACAATATCCCCCCTTCCCCGCATCAAAAAGAAAAGTATCCCTACCATCGACACCCCCCCCCCCCCCAATGAAATGATTTATGAACAGATCCCTATAAGCCGAGACGCCAGGGTAGCCAACTTGCACAGTGGTCGCCTCATCTGACTGTTAAGTCGTTTCTCTACAACAAGGAAAGAGCGCCGGCCAAACTCTATGCTAGGTTCCCTTACGTTTACGTACCTATCACAATAGGCCCCGGATGGAAGTCAGCTTTAGTTCCAGCCCTAGAACAGGGTTGGGGTTAGGGTTTCAGATATAGGCTTTAGGGTTTAGGGGGGGTATTTTGGGGTCGTATTTGGGGGTAGGGAGCGAGGTTAGGGGAAGTATGGGATGTCACCATACAAGCCCCTTCCGTGACTGAAGCTTGCGAGGTTGTCTCCAGGCCTGGGCCCAAAGCCCTAAACCGAAAAAAAGATAGGGTTTAGGGTTTAGGGTTTAGGGTTTAGGGTTTAGGGTTTAGGGTTTGGGGTTTGGGGTTTGGGGTTTGGGGTGTAGAGTGTAGGGTGGAGGGTGCTCAACTCCTCAACTCAAGCCCTTCTGAGGCCCTTACCCCCCCCCCCCCCCCCCCCCCCCCCCCCCAAGGCTAAAGCCCTAAAGTGTATGTTTCCTGAGGACTTCTCAAGTTAGGGGGGTTTAGGGGTCAATACTTAGGGTTTCGGGTTTAGGTTCCTAAGCCTTCTGCATGACCTCGGGCACGACCAGTTTTCTAAGGACAAGTAAGGGTTAAGGCTTTAAGGCTTTAAGGCTTTAAGGGTTTAAGGGTTTAAGGGTTTAAGGGTTTAAGGGTTTAAGGGTTTAAGGGTTTCGGGTTTTAGGGTTCCCGGGTGAAAGGTTTGGGGCGTAAGATGAAGTACCAAGCAACTATTATTGGGTGCTTTTCAAGAACCCTCAATGAGGGATCCGCTTTCCAGATCCTCCCCCGCGTGTCTGCAGCCCTGTCCCTGAACGCCTGCGGGCCAAATTGACCGACAAAAAGAAGTGCACCTCCGAGCAAGAGCTAGACACCCACCCCCCCCCCCCCCCCCCCCCCCCTATACCCTAACTCCTAAGCCCTAACCCAAAAAAGCCGAGCCGAATTCCTCATGACAAGGAATCCCCCAAAGGGTTTGGCGGCTTAGAGGGTGGCCTTTATGAAAAATGTGGGTGAGGTTGATTCCTAGGTTCCTGGAGAGAGCCTAAGAGCCCCTACACCAAAAACACACACACACACAGAGACACAAAAGGGTGTCACTGGGGTTCCACCCTTCAAGAGCTAGGAGTTCTGCAGACCAGCCACGCACGGGTCCACCAAGGCATCGTCGATTTGGCTCACTGTCTTGACGTAGGCAGCAGGGTTGAAAAACCTGGCGGAACTCAGGGACAGTGGGGTTTTCGGTTGTTTTGGGGGTCTGAGGGTTTAGTTTTGCTTTGGTTTAGGGTCGCTTTTGGGTTTGGGCTTTGGGGTTTAGGTTTTGATACACTTAGGCGTCAGCCGGCCCTGTTGCCGATAGCGCTGGCTGAGGCAGAGCAGCTCAGTGAATGTTACTATCGCAGTGAGATCACCACCATTACCCCCCCTCCCCTCCCCACCCCCCCCCCCTCCCCCCCTCCCCGTAAAAAGTGTCTTTGAAATTCGGGATCTGCTTTCTGGACCTTCCAGGGTTTGGGGTTTGTAAACGTTCTGGGAGGAGGGGCCTTCTCTGGGCTTCCCCAAAAATCTTCTCCCCCACTGCAAGTCCTAGCCGAGACCCTAAACCCTAAACCCTAAACCCTAAACCCTAAACCCTAAACCCTAAACCCTAAACCCGAAGTTCATGGGGGGTGTTGCGAGGCACCCTAGAGCTGCGAAGGTGCCTATGACAGCGAAGGGATGTCTCTGCGAAGATTTTGGTCTGGGTTGGGGCCGGGTGTTTTTTCATGTAGGGTTTAGGATGTAGGGTTTAAGGTTTAGGGTTTAGGGTTTAGGGTAACTAGGTTGCTTTTTAGGATACTGTATGTTCTCCTCATTTGGGCTTAGAAGGGGCCCTAAAGATCTGAAAGGATGTCAATCCTAAAACCTTTGACACGATGTTGCCCTAAGCCGCTCATAAGTACCTGAATTGGTGGTTGCAAGTACTTCGAAGTATTGCTTTTAACCTCCACTTAACTACCAAGTTATCCTACACCCTAAACCCTGAACCCCAAACCCTAAACCCTAAACCCCCTCGTGGTACGGGACCGAGGTGCGCCGCATTCCAGTTCCGATAGTAGTCCAGGCCGATGCCGGTGGCAGTCAGGGAGGCCTGTCTTGGGTTTAGGGTTTAGGGTTTAGGGTTTAGGGTTTAGGGTTTAGGGTTTAGGGTTTAGGGTTTAGGGTTTAGGGTTTAGGGTTTAGGGTTTAGGGTTTAGGGTTTAGGGGTTTGGTTTAGGGTTTAGGGTCGTTTAGTGAATGACAGTACGCGCGTGTAAAGATTATTGATGCGCGTATATGCACTAAATGAATGGGCTTATTTTGTGGGGTTCTTATTCGTGCGGCGTTACGTTCATTTTATTCATTGCAAAGCCGCATGAAAAGATCTCCCAAAAATAGTACTTTAAAGGGGCCTTTTAATGCGCACGGAAAGAACGTTCGAAATAAGGGGACCTTTAATAATATAATCCTTTCTCTCGTTCGGCGGTTGGTTTCGTTCTTACTTCGTTCAATGGATCACTCACTCCCTTCACTCCTTCGTTAATTTGCATTTCAAGTGAACGAAGTGAACGCCCCACAACAACCGTATCATCCTGGAACTTGGAGCCCTTAATCATATTGTTGTTACTGTACTTCGTTCATGCGTTCATTACGTTCACATCACTCACTCCGTTCTTTCGTTCTCTAATTCACTTATTCTCTTCGTATTAATTTCATGCGTGCGGCAATAAGAAAAGAAAAGAAAACGCCGCACAAACGAACGCACACTATTAATATTCTCACGCCCATATAATTCTTTTGTTTCAGGCGTGCAATTTGTGCGTTCATGACTTCGTTCATATGTTCACACACGGGCTTATAATAATACTATTCATGCGCCCGTGTATTCACATTATTCTCTTCGTGCTTCGTTCGTACACGATTAATATTATTACAGGCGCGAGCTTCCCATAATATTAATACTGTTCTCTCTTCACGGAATAATAAGGGAGTGAAGGAAGAACGAACACGCGCTCGTAAACTCACTTGTTTCGTACTTCTTTTAGGGTTTAGGGTTTAGGGTTTGGGGTTTGGGGTTTATGGTTTAGGGTCTTAGGGCTGTAGCGTTGCGCCCTAAACAACCTGGAGCCGGGTTCATGTTTTCTTTGGGGTTTGGGGGTTTTCAGGCTTCTTGGGGATGTACCGGCATGTAGGGTAAG